CCTGTGTTTCCAATCACGCTTAATGGGCCAATTTACCGGGTTAATATCGTCTTCTTAGATTCAAACTTTTGTGAACATTACTAGTTTCAGTTATCCAACAAATCAAGGTGGAAACTCGCTGGCCACGAATTCTGTTTCATCATACTTTGTACTACTAATTCTCCTCCTACTCATGGTAATTTCCTAATTACTTAACTAAGCAAAATATCTTCCTGAGGAACAACCTCAAATTCTTCAGCTGCTTAATTTCTAATCATAGTAACACACTTCTTCCTTCTGGAATAATCTCCTTGTTTATTACTGGGCTCTAACTTAAGAAAAGACACTTCACTTTAGGCCTATGCTAAATAATAATAGTTTTGGTGGGAACTTTGACAGAGACCAAATTCTGCAAAGTAAGCTTAACTCGAGAGTGGTTACAACTATTTCTACAGTTTCATGTTGATTATTTTAATCAAATATCTCCCATTAACAAGCTAGTTCAATTATGCCTAGCAACGATGGTTAAGTATCATGAAATTATGAATTCTAACAACTGCTCTTTCTTGTCAATTAGTTGTCTGCTGTGGGATTAGATGTGGAAATGCTGGTTTTTAGTATAATGCTGAGGCATCTTCGATTTTTCAAGGGCAAGTGGATTATGTCTCCTTCTATTTCAAATGCCCATTATGATCATCTAAAAGATCTCTTTATGAAATTTTCTTCTCAAACTTCCCATCAATATCATAACTCGGGCGTTTAAGCATTTCAAATCACACATTTTTCTTTTCTTTGATGACATGGGTTTTAAATGATTAAAATCGTTTGTAGTACTAATTGTCATTACAGCCTCCCACATGATAAGCCAGCCTTTGCAGAACTTCTAGAAATTTTTTATAGAATAATAATTTCCAAAACCAAATTATACTTCTGCTTTATATATGTAGTCAATAAAGAATCCGAAGGCCACAGAGACATTTTTCACTGAACCTGCTACAGTCATATTGAGCCACTGAACCAGCAGATTACAAATTGAAGTGTCATGGTTGCTACCAATTGTCTGCACGGCTTGTATTTTGGTTAGTGTTTGAAAATTCTGGCCATCAATTTCAACATACATTGAGCTTCTCGTGTTTTTATTTCTTAAAAATTGTTAATTATGCCTTCAAATTTTGCATCTGTGAAGTACTCTTAAGTATTTTACCTTATGTGAGTAATTGCTTGGGCCTTGTTAATGTATTGGAGGGCTCGTAGTAAGGACAAGATTTTTGTTGTACAACTTGTTTCAATATTGGTAATCAATGATTTGTGGACAAATTAGAAGAGACTTGAATACAATTTTTCTTTTCTTTAAGGAAAGAGTGTCATACTTATGGCTTATAGTCCTTTATCTCTCATTTATGGCACTATGCATTGGACCTAAATAATAAGCTTAACTTTAGGTATGGCCTACCAAGATTAACATCACATATTCCCGAATTGACGATAATGCCATACAATTCCTTTCTTATGCAGAGCTCTTTGCTGCAGAATAACTAGGGGACCAGTAGCTGCAATTACTGAAAATTCCCAATATGTATATTCAACCATCACAAAGCAATCCCAGCAAAGCAACTTGTGAGACAAATACACAGCAAAGTGTCCAAGTGATTTTGGATTAGATTTGTCTCAACTACTGTCTGCCTCTGATTATCAAAATGCATGGCTCAAGAGAATTTGACATACCTATTGGCTCTTACCTTTGTGTTGTCTGACTAGTAATGGCCAGTTAGTTTTCAAAAAACAAAATGAAAAAGTAAAACATATTCAGATTCCACCAACAGTTCTTCCATACAAGCCTGTTTCTAACAAGAATTAAGGTGCCAACCTAGCTTCTATCCTGGAACCGAATATTTGCTCCTATTGACTGGCTAAACGTTTATATCATAACATAACAAAACAAGTTATCATTATTTAATGTTAAAACAAGACTGCTTCATTTGTCCCATAAACATAGACATCAATTTTGATTTCACGCAAGAAATGAAATAAATAAAAGGGGTGGAAGAAGAATAGGACTAGAAAACATCGGTTCAATTATAAGGCTGACCAACTTCATTTTTGTCACTAATCAAATGGGCCAGTTGATTATTTTGCTGAGAATATCCGAAGGACAACGAGGCCGACATATATTATAGACGTGTTTAGACAGCAAGTGTAATGGAGTGTATAAACATTTTACAATGTTGTGAGTTTGACTTTTTGAAACAGCTCATATGGGAAAAATATAAGATAAGCCTAGAGGTACATGATGAGGTATGGTCGTGGACTATGGAGATTACAAGCATCTTTCCATGGAGGACTTATTGATAATTCAAAATGTCCAATTGGATGGCTGAATTAGGACATGCTTAGGCCGCGGAAGCTCACAACATGTCAGAACAAATAGACACGCAATCGCAGAAAGATATCAAAACTAATATTGCTAATATATAAACTTGTATTGTATCATTGAGAGGTGAAGGAAGATACCCTTACGGGTTTAGAACGTGTTTGTGAAAAAATGAACCACTTCAAGACAAGACACAATTTTGGATTCTTGTGCGCCATGAATAACTTGCAGAGAATATTGTGCAATTTGTGCCATCTCAGAAGGACAAAGGAAAAGTTTAATTTATTATGCGTACAATGTCATGTAATACTTCTATTCCAAGATATCTAATGTAATTATTTTTTTTTTCTTCCAACATAAAAGAAGTAGGTCACCCTTTCAATCTATCTTCAATATACATTACTTTAGACACATGCTGCGACCCTTATTGCTGTTAAGTTTTCCTGTTTCGAAATGATTGAAGCGAATGTCTCTGACTTGATTAATTTACTACTCGATGGCCATGTCCTTTTTTTTCCCTCAACAACTATATCTGATAATTGAAGGCTAATTCTCTTAGTCGAAATTGTTAAAATAGACTTTCTTTCTTTAATAATTAACTGCATAAATTATGTTCGACTTTATTCATTACATGTACCATGGTTAGCACACAGTAACTAGTCCCTGATTTAACTAACAGGTTGTGGTATTATCATTATTTCCTGCTAACTTTTGAATTCTCTAGCAGACAAACTCTGTAGAGTGAAAGGCTTAGTTTAGATAATTACCTTTCAGCAAGAACTCAATGACATAGTGAGGAATCCTCCAATCTCCATCCAAGACACGAATTACAATGCAATTTAAAATTGACTTTTTCTAGCAAAAGTCAGAACGCTGATGGGCTTTTTGGACCTGTGATCTCTCTGCTCCACTTTTTTGATTTGTCCCTATAGAGGGGGAAAGCTATTGTTAGCCACACTTGTTGAACATCTTTTTGCAAACACAATTGTTTTTTAACTGAACCGCAGGTAACTTTTCTGAATGATTTTTTTTTTCTGTACACAAAGCTGAAATTATGAGACTTTACTCAATACAAATCAATTGTGCATTACTTAAACTTTCTAACTTTTTGGTCACTTTTTTTTTGTCTTCCATTCTGTAATATTTTAGAAGTTGAACAATTCTAGATGTATGTTTCCTTAATTTTATTAGGTTAAGGGAATATTTTTTAGTGAAGTATGCATCCTAGAGATGGAATATTGTTTGAGCAGTTGCAGGCTGTAATGATGAGTACATGGTGAGCGGTATAAATACTAACTAGATACGAGACACAGATGCAGACATAGTAACACAGCAAATTTGATGAGTTTACACGTAATGAAGGTGAAGTTTCGTCCGATAGAAAATACAAGCGGTTCTTAAAATATGTTGGTAAACATAAATTAATCAGGTTTAGTGTGTTTATAAAAAATGCAGGCTTGGATAAGCGAATTAAAGGGACAGTTATATTATTGCGATTGTCGCACTTGTATAGAGTTGTTTGTCTCTATTATTAACTATGGTTATGGTACTCTACATAAAACAAGGACGGTTTTAGTATGTTTCCACACAGACGCAGAATTTTGATAAAGATCCAACGTTGAAATTGAAGAAATGGACATTTAATGAAAAAGAGACTTAATTTTCAAAATGCAAAAATGATGAATCATTTGGATAGTTGGTTGAAGTCCAACAATTTCTATGAGAAGAAATGTGACCTTAACTAGCTGGTTTGTCAAAAGTAAAATTGTATTTGTACCCAAATGATGGAACTTTTCCAAAGGATAATGATTTTTGAAAAATGATCCCTAAAAGCTAAAAAGAAGAGAAGGTCAGTTTTGTACCAAAGAGTATCTGGTGGAAAAGTTGGACAAGAAAAGGAAAGGGCTATAGAGTTTTCAAAACTTGAAGTATTATCAGCAATAGGAGCAAGAGAACCTAGAGAAGGTTCTGTTATCGTCAATTTAATGCAGTATGCTTTGTTTGCTTACCTTACCTCTCTCAGCCTTTACTTTTCCACGAGAATTTTGCCCTTCTTAATTCTACTGGTTTATTTGTACTTCATATTACTAATCTTGGACTTGCCTTTGCCTAGGCCATGCCACTCCTCCAAATTCCATTCAAGCTTCTTCCTTTCTTCTCTCTCATCCAAGTCATGTGGGAATGGAGAAATTTCGTCACACTCCACAACTTTCAAACTCACGAGATAACAACTATATGCTCTAAACCAGCATGGTACATATTACATAACATAACCACCAAGGTCGGTTAAAAGTGAAAACCGTCCTAGCTACCATTGTAGCAATTATACCCACCACAATTTCTCACATACCTATCTTTAGGACTACCTTCACTCCCTTACAACCATTATCACTTTTCCCATATTTACACATTTCTCAACTGTTTTTTTCCCTTCATTTCTTATTCACATCCTATTTTCTTTACATCACTCTTTTTTATTAATCAACTAAACAACACACACTTTAACCTATTCTGTCTCATCTTTCTCTATCTTTTACAATATAAAAATGAATTATATAGTATTAATCAATTTCAAACCACAAACTCACCTTGGATAACTACTTCTTCTTGTTGTTGTTGTTGTAAGTAGTAGTTGATTGGGAGTGTAAAACTCTTGGCTGTAAAAGTGCAAAGACTATTTTCTGGTAACAAAAACCTGAATGGCCATGGTGGTGGTGGGACATTCTCATAAATAAGTCAAAGCATATGATCCTCCCTGGTGGGATGTGATCCGTTGGATATAAGAGAGGAGTTGCAGGAGGAGCGTTGGATGAGAGTGTGGGACCGAAACAATTATGTGGAATGTCTCGTGAAGAAAAAAGATGAAGCTAGTTCTGGAAGGTCAGATATATAAATTTCAAAACGACAGTGTCCAATCACCCTTCTTATTATAAGGCTCCTTCTATATATTCGAATCTCTATGCAAGTTGCAAAATTCTTAAGCTCCAACGCTTCCCATTAATTCACATCAAAGCTCCTGTGTCCTTCTTGACGATCCACGTAGGTTCTGACACAAGACTTTTGCCGCTTTTAACAAACATTTCAAATCGCTTAAGGCAGCCATAGTGCACATGGGGAGACACTCTTGCTGCTACAAACAGAAGCTTCGTAAAGGCCTCTGGTCTCCTGAGGAAGACGAGAAGCTTTTGAATTACATCACCAAACATGGCCATGGATGTTGGAGCTCCGTTCCAAAACTGGCTGGTACCACTACTGTGCAACACTTAATCTTTCATCACTTTATCAGTATTGCAGCATGTGCACAACACAAAACTCTTTTAATTAATTAATTAATTATTACCCTTCCTTCTCTCTCTCAAACTTTCTTCTTCCTTTCTATGCCAGGCCTTCAGAGGTGTGGCAAGAGCTGCAGATTAAGGTGGATTAATTACCTTAGGCCAGATTTGAAGAGAGGGGCGTTCTCACAGCAGGAAGAGAACTCCATAATTGAACTTCATGCAGTCCTTGGCAACAGGTACTGTTATTGTGTTCCAACTTGTTGCTATTTTTGGCTTCTCCTCATGTAGATTGTTGCCACTACAAGAATTCTCGGTGGACCGATTTCTGCAGGTTGTCGGTAATACATGTTTTTTGTTTATGGGATTGTATGCGTTTTGAACTTTTGATGGGTGTACCAGGTGGTCGCAGATCGCTGCCCAGTTACCGGGAAGAACTGATAATGAGATAAAGAATCTATGGAATTCCTGTCTGAAGAAGAAGCTTAGGCAAAGAGGCATTGACCCAAACACACACCAACCCCTCTCTGAGGTTGAGAATGACAAGGACAAGCCTCTCACGGCTGACAGAAGCAATCAGAAAGCCTCCAATGAGGTGAGTGTTGTTGAGCCACCAAAACAAAAGCCCATAACTTGTACTACTTCCATGCCAATGGATAGATATCCCCTTGAAGTTTCTGCTACCTCAAAGATCAGCAGTGGTGGCAACAACAGCAGCAGCACCCTAGACAGGTTTGGCACTTGTCATGACAACAACAGCTCCATGGCTAGTTCTGATATGATGGGAATGGGATATTTCCCTTTCCAGCACCTGAACTATGGACCAAACATGGGACTCACTACTGCAAATCCCAACAACACGCCACTTTGTTTCATTCCTGGTTCCACATCTTCCCAGATGATGTCAGAGCTGAATTCCACCATGCTCCATTCTGTGTTCTCAACACATGTAAAGCCCACTGTCAGCCTCCAGTCTAATAACAACAACCCATCTTCCATATTTTCTGACGGGGTTCAGAACTGGGAAGGAAGTGCCTTCAGCAATAACAACAACAACAACAATGCAAGCAAAAGCAATGGGAGCAGTAGCTGCAGCATCCAATTACAAAGCAGCACTAACTTCCTTGATCATGGCACAATAACATGGGGGCTGCAGGCAGAATCTGCTACCAAGACAGATAATAAAGATGCTAATTCTTCTCATGTGGTACCCTTGCAATCAGAAGCAGAAGACATCAAATGGTCCGAGTATCTGAACAACACCCCTTTTTACCTGGGAAGCACAGTGCAGCAGCATCAAACCACTCACTCTCTCTACAGTGACGAGGTGAAGCCAGAAACAGCCTTCATAGCAGACGAATCAAGTACCAGTTGGCACCACAGCCAGCACTTTCAACCCTCGGATATATATAGCAAAGATCTCCAGAGATTTTCAGTAGCCTTTGGACAATCCCTGTAGCCTGCAGGCAATGACTGTACTTAACACGTGGAAACCTCAACCAAAGAGTGGAGCAAGATGCCGACATTTCCAATGTGAAGTAGGTCAGAAATTTGTCGTGAGTTCTGACCGCAGGTGTGTGCTGTAAATTTTTCTTTTGATATTGTAAATGTGTCCGATTTATACCAAAAAAGAAACACCTCAGCAATCAGCATTATGTTACAGTATAACTAATATTTGTGATTGATTCAAGCTTCTTCTTCTTCTTCCATCACTTTGTTCATTAAACACAGAATAAGGCTTGTTCCATACAGATCTCGATTCCTTATACAGTATTCATATGGATCTACATACAATTTATGATAAAAGTGAGCATTATTTTTCTGAAGTAAGTTTTTTTGTTTTGTTGCTATATTGTGTAATAGTTACCATTAAGGTGATGGAGCGTGCGTATGACACAATATAGTTTGAAATCTAGTATGATGATCTTTTGTGTGTCCGTGATTTGCTACTACACAGTCAGCTTTTCACTTGATCCTTTTCCAATTGAGAATCCAGTGAAGTTATTTTCTTTTGTGTCGTGGTACCGTTTTTTCTTTAATGGGTGTCTATCACTGTCTCATACAGATAAAAGAGTGTTTACACTTATTGGACAAACCTTAGCTCCATTCCCTTTCACCTTAACGAGTGAAGATAAGAAAATTATAGACTACTACTCTACTCTTCCCTTCACCTACGTCTTTCTAATCTACGCAATCCAAAACTGTTAGACGGTTTTAATTCCCAACTCAACACTGTAGTCTCTGCAACGTACAAAAATCAAAATAACCCAAATTTATGGCACCACACCGACTAATTCACTTTAATAAAGGGCCATCCCAACTTCTTTAACGCCTTCTTTCTTTCTAATGTTGTGTTACTGTCTTGTTTCCCATTATCAAAGATCATATTATTATGTTTTTAATTATTTATTTTCACTATTTTTTATAAATTTTATTTTCAATTTTTTAATAATAATATTATTATGTTTGTAATTATTTATTTTTATTTGATAACATTTTCTTTAAATATATCATACCTATAACCGTATTCAAATTTTTACAAATTTTCATCTCAAATTACACTATTTTTTCTCAAATTTTAATAATTTTTTATCATCATTTTTAAATCTATTATTAAATTCATTCTCCAAAATCCATCTCCTTAAAACAAAAATTTTATTATAAAGAAGCGGGGCAACTAAAAAGTAAAACAACATAATGAAATAATGCTACACATTTTACTTAAATTTGCATGTTCCATGTAACTTCCTCAGTTTTCACCATCGTTTTAATCATATACATGTACTTTTTAAATTTTACATTTAACTATATGTTTATATTAATGTATTATAACCTAACTTAGGTCTTATATTGCAGGTTTTGATTGACATGGAGTTGAAATTAGGGATTGTGTTAAAATTTTGCATGAGATAAGAACAATGATAAAACATTCATGAAATGTTTCACCATTATTTATTGTGAACCAAATTAATTAAGCAAGATAGTTTATATCTCAACACAGTTTGGTTGATATATAGGTCAATCCGTTGCAGCACTGCCCTGTGCTTTTGCATAAAATAAAAGAAAGGAAAATTTTATTATAATAAATATTATTTTAATTTAATTATTTTTAAAATGAAACAGTACAATACTATATTAATAGAACTTTAATATCATGATACACATTTTATAAATATTATATAGCTCTTAATTTAAAAATTAAATTACATTCTTTCTTTCAATGTTTTACCTCAATTTTTTTTTAAATTAATAGTTTGAAATTAATGGAGAAAATTCAACCCCTTCCGTCCAAGTTGATTTTTTTTTTAATTTATAAATTGAAAATAATAAAAAAAAGAGACACAACTCTCGTTGGATCTTGTTTGCTTGCATTGTATAACATTTTTTTATGTCTCAGATAGATAAATACTTTCTTTAAGTTTACTGTAAGAATACTGTTTACAAATTTTAGCTTTCAATTGTTAAACTATGTTTCTATTTTAATTACACTGAAATCAAAATCAAAAGTAAACTCTTTTGATTAGTTTAGAAGACACACTATTTATCTTAATTCAAAAGTATTTTTTTTCTAAAATACTTTTCGTTTAAACTTTATATCAGAGGAGTGAATAAAAAAGAGTTATTGAAAAATGTATTCATAATTTGGAGAGTGTTCGAGAAATAATATTATTAAATAAAATGAAATTCCATCTATTAAGAGAACTGTCGTTTACTTTGATACACTTTGCTTAATTTGTACTGGAGATAATTATTCGTTGGAATAGTATTTTTTTCTTAAAAATATTGAATAGAGTTATATATTAAAGATTTGAAACTTAAAATGAGTTGAATATGAAAAGATATTTATTGCATGATAGAAAAAGTACCAATCTGAAGTTGTGACGATAGAATTCTGCATGAATGGGTCCCACAGCTCATGACACTGAAATAGGTTTCCTTGTTGTTTAGTCTGAGTGACATTAGAAATGACAGCCACACACAAAAATTAATATTATTAATAACATCTTACGAGAATAAATAACTCTCAATCCTCACCGCAGAATTTCCAAACAAATTTAGCGCACGAGTTATATGCACCCAGCGTCTTCCAACCCGTTCATTATGGATTGATTAGGAAGTAATTCCATTTAATTCGTTTATTAACGGGATAAAAAATTTGAATTTACTTTAATTTATTATAAATTAATTAATTAAACAGATTAATTCACTTATTCATTTAATTATGCACCGTTTAAACTAAAAAAAGTGATGAAAACGTTTACATTTTAGATTTAGAGTTAATTATAATGTTAAATAAATATCATTAATAAAATAAACAATTATCAAATAATAAATTATAAATTTTTGATATTTAATTTAATTTGAAAGTAAAATTTTAATATTTATAAATGTATGGATATATTTTAAATTTTAAATATTTTTTTAATATGATATTCTTTTATTAAAATTTGTCAATAAATTATATATATCATAAAAACAATCATTGAAATTATTTATGTAATTTTTAAAATGTTTAATATATTGATTTTATTTATTCGAAGTTAAAATAGAAGTTTTATAAAAAAAATCATCTATCATGAATCATATTAATTCATCTAAATTAATCCGGAAGTAAATCATAAGTTGATAATTAAATTATTAAATATAAAAACTAAAATATTAAATAAAATAAAATTTAATTCGAATCCAATCCGGACTTAACAATCTTTAATTTCACCTAATAAAAAAATAAAATAAATTTAATTTATTAAATTACACGTATAAACCCTTGGTAAGAACGTATATGGTTATTAAACAAACTCAAAAGTAGCAGATATTGATCATTATCACTAACATACTTTTCATAAAATGGTAAGACTATTTCCTTTAATCGGATATCATCTCAATTAATGAACAAGTTATTTAGTATATTTTGATTCTAAATACCTAATGTCACACGATGCCACTTTAATAGATATTGATTATGACTAAATACTTGAATCATTAATGGTTAACTAATAAAGAATCTATTAAACTTATAATTGTTTTTAGTTATATGTATAATTATGACAACTGATTTAAGCCCTTATTTAATGTCATTTACTAAATGAAGAAACGCGTTTATTAATCAATAACCAATACATAAATTATTATTAATTAACAACCAGAGTTTAAACTTTGTATGAAGATAATCTTGCATCATAAAATAGAGATTTATCTCAAATGACCACACTACACTCTGTGTTTTTGTGGTACAATAGAAAGTTTCATAAAATTGCATTCAACACCTTATTTCCTTCCTACTTTCTGTGTTGCATTGCATAACCTACTTTTCTCATATTGAATTGAATTAAATTATTTTAAATTATAATAAACTATTACAGTAATTTAGCTTTTAAATATTAAACTATTATATACCAGTACTTAAATTTAACAAGAACATAACTTATTGTTGAAAAAACACGTTTTCAAATAGGATAGAATTTTAGTAATAACTTACAAACTAATATAATTTTTTTGTAAGATCAAATTAAACTCAATTTCTTTTTTTACCTAAAATCACTCGTTAATGTATGCAATTTGATTCAACTATTTAAAATTGCAATTTATGTGATCCACTTAAATTATTGTATATTTCAATTTAAGCTTCTTACATCATCCAATCAGAGAGGTATGCAGAAAGACGAATATTTAAAAAAATTGAAGTTTTATTATTGATAGATAAGGACAAATTCTAGAGTCATAGTTACAAATATTAAAGCCACCCCCTTCACATTCTTAAATTAAATTATTTGAAAAATGGTCCTTATATTGTCCATGTGCACGCACAAATTCAATAACTGGTCTTGGTCTTTAAATAATCTCTGGCTTGTTCGTTGTTTAATTTATGGACATTTAAGATTCCATGTTTAGAATCTTGAACCATGTGAAACAAATTATTGGCTTTATTTTCTATGACCCTACAATCATCACTGTCCAAGAACACAACAAAAATCTCGGGTAGGATAATCAGATAATGGCAAACCAATCTCATGTTTGATCTTCCATAATAAACTAATTTATATTGTTGCTAAACAAACCTCACAAAGTTGCTTCGAAACACACGGTTCTGATAAAAAAAATAATAAAATAATTTTTAATTACAAGTAAGGGTGAAAATATATCTGTATCATGTTTCATAAACAAAAGTTTTCATTTTTAATTATTGTCTTCAAGACGATCTACATTTAATAGAAAAGTAACCAATAGACAATTTGTTGATTATGACAAAGATGAATAAAATGATTTGGATAATGATTGAACTAATAAGGACGGTGTTGATTATTAAATAACCTTGTCGGAAGATTTGATCCGGGAGAAAGGTTAATTTATGTCAGTTTTTAGGCAATGGTAACAATCTAAGGCTCAAGTTTAACGTATTGCACTATGAATAGGAGCCACTGTTAAGGACTATGTTAATGTCGGATTCTAATTAAAAATTAGCGACTTTAAACCCACGTTTTAAACAGAATGTTCTCTATAAAATCTTAAGCATCACCAACTTTATATTGCATATCATAACAAAAATCATATGCAAAGTCATCCAGGTAAGTTTGATACGGTGGGTTGAATCCTTCTCAATGAAAATCATATTCTTGAAATGGTTAGCTACAAATTGATTAATTTTAAGTACAATCCAGTCTATT